TTTTGTTTTTTCTTACAAAAGACCTGTATGAAACAATAAAAAATAATGCCAAGTAACATTTTTTTAATTTTCTTGATATTTTATTTAGCATTTTTGTTTTTTTTTTTGTTTTTTTACAAAATACTTATATTTAAAAAATGAGAGTTCTGGCGCATCCTGTATATGTACAGGGTGTTTTGTAAAAAAAAAAGAGTAAGATAACCAGGAACATTAAAAAAAATGTTTACAAAATTCTGTCAAAAATTTTTGACATTTATTTTTTCACATTTGACATTTTATGTCTATTGTATAAGTATGTTTTTTCATAATTATTCAGCAAAAGTACAAAAACTTTAAAAAACAGGATTTTTTTAACATTTTTTTTGTTTATTTTCTTGATATCTTATTTTATTTAGCATTTTTCTTTTTTTTGTTTTTTTTACAAAACAATTAAAAAATAAAAATTAAGTAGACAAAATAACTACAAGAATTGCTCAGAATGGCTTCCAACTTCCATAAATGTCATCGTTTTTAATTTATCACCTGTAATTCTTTAACAGACAAAAATCGAAAAAAAAACTATTTAATTTTTTTTCTTCACAGAATAACATTTTCTATCACTGATTGACATATAGTGGTTTACTTTTGGAACACCCTATATACACAGTGTAAGGAAAAAATTTTGACACTTATACTTAAGTTATTTTTAACTCTAAAAAGAAAGCCGATACAAAAATTTTATAAGATACAAAAATTGTTTAAAAATAAAAGAATTACGCCATTCGGATTACGTCTAACAAAAATATGGTTCAAATTTCATAAGTTGATTACTCCGTTAAAAAATAATTAAAAATTTTTAAACGGTACAACTTGGTTTAAATCGTTTTATTTTGTCCTGGCGAATCACAGGTTACTTTTTGTCCCCTACTTTTCGTTATACAGGGTGTCCGGACTAAAACCCTCAATATCTCAGAAACTACTAATATTTGGATAACGCAAATTGAGTTATTTTGACTTTTTTAGACCTGCACTATCACCTAGTAAAATTTTAGCACAACCATTAAAATCACCCTGTATATATTTATACAGGCTGTCCGTAAAAAACATTAATTTTTTTTGGGAGATGATAGCTTATGAGAAGATAGAAAAAAAGTTCTTATGAAATCATGTCCGGAAATGCTTCCTAAGGAAGCTAGAGCAATAAATTGACCTAATACAGGGTGTCCCACCTAAGACTTTCCGATCTAAAATCTCTATTATTTACTAACGGATTCTAACGAAATTTAAAATATAGATTATTTCAAAAAATCTTAAAATTTATATCAAATTGTTTGTCAAAATCGGTTTTTGTTACTGGGTCGTAGAAAAAATTATATGTATTACACGGGAAGAAAGTGTGTTTTCTTTCCTTGGTGATGGAAAAGATACATTTACCTTTCTTGTGACACAAATAATTGTTTGTTTCAGAGATGTATTCGGACGAATTTTGGGCGCAAAAAAATGTTTGAAATTCGCGACAGTGACAGTTGGGAGTGTTTCAGATGCAATTCATCGCAACTCATAACACAGCGAATTGCCTGTTATGAATTTTTCGAATACATTCGACGTGAAATGTCATGGATGAATGGGAATAATCCCGAAGTGTGGAGTCGGGATTATTCCCGTTGTTGTGGCGGTGAAAAGAAACGACCGGCAACTAGTGGGGAAGAAAAGAAAGCCAAAAGGAAGAAATGGGAATCGGATCCCGATTATAATCCCAATAAACCGAATGATTCTAAAATAATCCCTCCCGATCCTCTTGCAATTCCAGGGAGTAAAATTGTTCCTAAGCCTCCTATTCAAATTGTGCCTAGATATACATTAATTGGTAATAAAACCAAAGACAACGATATTGAATTTGTGCGTCAAATTCCAGCGCCTTTTGTTACAATCAATCCGACGAATAGGCCCCAATTTCGCACAATACTTCCTTCTGTGAGGCCAGGTTTGTGTTTAATTATAATAATACTTTTGTAATTTGCCTCCATTTTGATTCTAAATCTATTAAGTACAAAATTTCACTTTAAAATTGGCATAAAGGGGGCAAATTATAAAAAATACTAGTTAGGCTACTCGTTTTTTAAACTTTAATTCGTGCTTCAAGACTGGTCGTTTTCTCCTTGTGTGACAAAATTTTTCGATTATCTTAATAATAAATCTTTTTAATCTTTAGAAACAAGCAAATATAAGGCAATATTCAGGAATATTGCAGTTTTCTGTTGTATTCCGAGACTCTCAGTAAAAAACTTCTAAATCCATTTTAGCTAAACATTTTCATACTGGTATTGTTTATTTTGCTTTAACAATTTTTCTTTGAATACAGTTAGTTTTTTTTTTATTAAAAAATGCTTTGGATTTTTAAAAACAGGTGAAAACAATTCAGATCAACTTTTATACTTTTTTTTAATAAAAAACGTATTAAATTTTTCGAAATTACCAATAATATGGCATTTTGGGAAGAATTCTGCAATTTTTTTTCTTGTTATGACAAAATATGTCTTATTATATGATAAGTCATTCTAGATCAAATTTCGTCATTTAATTTTTTTTTTAACGCAAATAGTTTTTTGTTAAATTTATAAAAATAGGTAACAATGCATTGAGATGAGATTTTATACTGTTTTCGTCAAAATCTTTTCAGTTTTTTGTTGAAAAACAACCTGAATTGGTGAAAACAGATCAAAGTAACACATTTTCAGACCTAATTTTGCTGTTTTCTATTTAGTTTTGACAAAATCTTTCAAATTTCGTGAGTTTCTTAATAAAAAAACGCATTAAATTTCGTATTTCAGAAATAATTGTGTGCAATTTTCTGTCTTATTTTGGTAAAATATATATGTTGTCGTATTTTGAGTTTTTCAGTAAAAAAAATTTTTTAAACGATAGAAAATAACGCATTTTGGATCAAATGTTATATTTTGTTTTTACAATTTTTTTAAACATAAATTTATAAAAACATGGGACAACAACGCATTCAGAATAAATTTTATACTTTTCTACTTTATTTTGTCCAAATCTTTTGATTTTTATGAGTATCGTTGGAAAACCTTTTTTTTTTTTTGAATTTTTTAATTAAAAAAAAATGATCAAAGTAACATATTTTCGACTTAGTTTTGACAAAATCTTTAAAATTTTGTGAGTTTTTTTAAACACATATCTTTCAAAAATATGACATTTCGGGGCAATTTTCTATTTTGTTTTGACAATTTTTTTAAATGCAATTTGTTGAAAATTTATTCCCTAAAATAGCGATCTTGTTTAACAAAAAAATGTTTGTCGTTAAAAAATCCTTAAAATTTGTGTAATTAGATCAAAATAAGGCAATTTTTAGTTTAACAAAAATATGGTATTCAGGAATAATTTTGCGATTTTTTGTCTTGTTTTGACAAAATATGTCGTATTCTGAGACTTTCTCAGTAAAAAAACTTATTTTAGGTCAAATTTTTCACATTGTTTATTTTGCTTTTAATTAAATTAAATTTGATTTTTAAAATAAAGACATTCCGAAACGTCGATTAAATAAATCGGTTGAAGTTTAAAAATGGGATAAATTACAAAAAATATCATAAAAAAACTCGTTCCAAAAGACCTTGAAGCACTCATGTTTTAAACTTGATTCGTGCTTCAAGTCTTATCAAACTTATTTTTTAATATACTTTAAGGGTTTCACCGAAAAAAATTTGTAACTTTCTATATTTCTCGTTAAAAAATCCTTAAAATTTGTGTAATTATACCAAAATAAGGCAATTTTTAGTTTGTTTTGACAAAATTTTTCGAAAATTATCTTAATAATAAATCTTTTTAATCTTTATAAATAAACAAAAATATGGCATTTCAGGAATAATTTTGCGATTTTTTGTCATGTTTTGACAAAGTATGTCGTATTCTGAGACTTTCTCAGTAAAAAAACTTCTAAATCCATAGAAAATAACGCATTTTAGATCAAATTTTTCACATTGTTTATTTTGCTTTAAATTAAATTGACTTTTAAAATAAAGAAACGGAATAATTCATAAATCGATTAAAATTTAAACGGCACAAATTACAAAAAATAAAAAACGTGTTGTGGTTACGCCACTCGTTTTTTAAACTTCAATTCGTGCTTCAAGTCTTACGAAACTAGTTTTTTAATATACTATAAGGGTTTCACCGAAAAAATGTCGTAACTTTCTATCTTGTTTGGCCAAAATTTTTTGAATTCAGTATTTTACTTGTAAAACCCTTAACATTTATAAAATTAGAATTAAAGAAGGCAATTTTTTGACAAAATTTTTCGAAAATTATCTTAATATTTTTTTTAATCTTTAGAAATAAGCAAAAATATGGTATTTCAGGAATAATTTTGCGATTTTTTGTCTTGTTTTCTCAGTAAAAAACTTCTAAATCCATAAAAATAAACGCATTTTAGATCAAATTTTTTACATTGTTTATTTTGCTTTGAATTAAATTAAATTTGATTTTTAAAATAGAGACATTACGAAACGTCGATTAAAAATGTTTCACATTGTTTATTTTGCTTTAAATCGTCACAATTCCTAATTCGATTAAAATTTAAATGGCACAAATCACAATAAAAAACCTCTTGTGGTTACGCCACTCGTTTTTTAAACTTTAATTCGTGCTTCAAGTCTTTGAAACTTGTTTTTGATATACTATTTTAGTTCCACAGGCCCCCACATCGACTCGGATTCTCTCCACAGCGCTCCAAAACCGGAATCTCATGAAACACGAGTGGTTTGAGAAGACTGTGAGGGCAGCAGCTCGAGTCAACTCCCATTTATCTTACACTTTAACTCAATTAAATAAAGCCCAATCGCAAGCAGGCAGTGTGGAGGAACTCGCAGTTGTTCATAATAAATTACAAGAGATTCTGAGTAGTTCAATAAATTCGTTGATTCAAATCCGGAAGAATTTGCGAACGGAATTTATCACCGGAATTAAAACTGTTCGTTTGCCGTCGAAGAAACCGGAGTTTCAGAACGACGATGATGTTATCATTGTTAGTGCGTCTCCAGTGATGCCAAAACCGGCGATTCCGGAAACTAAAACTGCCATTGATCCGGTGATAATCATTGAAAAAGCCACAAATACTGTAGGGGGGCCCCCGAAGGGGTTTTTGAAAGTCAAGTCGGTGTCAGAGTTGCAAAATGTCCCCCCGGAGTGTATAACAATCCCGGATGATCCTCCCGATGAACCCGAGTTAAGGACTTTTTTAACAGAAGATTCTTCACTTGAAATGAAGAAAATGAAGGCGGTTAGGGTTATTTTAGTGAGGGAGGATTTAGAGAAACTACAAAGACAGTTAGCTAAGGAGAGTTAATGTTAAATTGTGATGAGACTTTTCTACTTTGTAAATATTGTTCTAGTTCACTTAATGTATTGGATATTTGTGTCATAAGCTACATCAAAGCGGTGCTTTTACGTAGTTTAAAATGATTATTTAATTTTTTTCGAATTCAAAATTGTTAATTTTGTACTATTAAAGGGCAGTATTTTTTTGTTCAACATCCCTACTTTGTGATTACTGATATTTAATTAATGTATTGTAAATAAATCTTGCATTATTAATTGCAGTGGCATTTTAAGTTTTGTTCCGCCGGTAAGGAAGGAATTTGTAATTTGTCAAAAATGTCAGTTTTGTGGAAATTATTTATTAAAATTTCATGTATAAAATCAGTCTTGTGCATTGAGGCACTTTTAAAAAATTTCTTGTTTAATTAAATTATTTTTTTTCCAAGTGCCGATAATAAAGAAATCCGTAATCATCTGTCAATAAACAAAATAGACTTGTACAYAATAATACGGATATCTAAATTGATGTATTGTAAATAAATCTTGCATTGATAACTTTTTTTAATCAAACTACAGTAAATATTTTAAATTTTGCTCAGCCGGTAAGAAAGGGATTTGTAAATGAAAATTAAGGTTTGAAATTGATCAAAGTAACATATTTTCAGTCCCAATTTTACAATTTTCGACTTCGTTTTGACAAAACCTTTTGTGAGTTTTTTTTAAACACATATCTTTCGAAATTATCAAAAATATGACATTTCGGGGCAATGTTCTATTTTGTATTGTCAAAATATGTCGAATTCTGTGGGTTTTCCAATGAAAAACATTTAAATCTACGGAAGCTAAGGCATTTTAGATCAAATTTAGACATTGTCTATTTTGTTTTGACAATTTTTTTAAATGCAATTTGTTGAAAATTTATTCCCTAAAATAGCGGATTGACTGTCAAAGAAATTTTTTAAAC